GAGCTTTTGAAGGGTTGGAGATGAGCCTTGCTCATTAGAGGAGTTGTCTTTGATCCCTTATTTTCTTTCGATGCACCCATGTAGTTACAGTTTGTATAGAGCATTGGGTGTCTTTGGAGAGAACCATATTTTGTAGGTCTCCTTTTTAGGTATACCTCTTGTAGACAGCCAAGTTGACCTTGTTATTATTAATAAATCCTTTTACCTGATTAAAAAACATGTTTAATCTTGGACTCTGTGATGATGCATTTTATTTCAAGTTCGTCTACCAAATTCCTATTTTCACTTCAGCTTTATTAGTACTTTTTCATGTGTCGCAGCTTAAAAAGAAAATAGCATCAGCTACTTCAGCTTTAAAATCCATGTTCAACAAAGGGGAGCCACAACGAGATGATGCTGTAAGCATTAAAGTTATAATACTAGTTATCTTGTTGTACTTTTGCTTTGCATTGACCATTATTATGTCCTTCCACTGCAGAGTGACAAGCTAGAGCAATTAAGGGAGAGGATGGCAAAAGTTCGAGATCTGTTCCGTGATTCCGAAACTACAGAGTTTATCATTGTGACAATCCCCACTGTAATGCACAAATTCTGTCGTCCTATTACTTTAAGTTAACAACTCTGGAACATAAGCTTGAAACAGAACGAGCTTGCCTCTTATTTAATATTACTTCCAATCATAAATATCATCCTCTACTTTGTCTTTTCCTTTCCTGTAGTTCATGCTCCATATGGTTGAGCTTTTATACTGAAGTCAACAAGGTTCAATATCCAATACATTGTAATAGTACAGCAGTCCAATATTGCTCATCATATAGAGGCTTCTACACAATATATTTCCATTAGGTTTGAAAAACATTGATAAAAGTAGGATATGCATGTTAGAGACATAAAGAATAAGAATAGCATTGGTACTATGACTCTGGAAAAATGGTTGAGCCGAGGGTCTATCGGAAACAACCTCTCTACCTTCACAAAGATAGAGGTAAGGCTGTGTACACACCGCCCCTCCCTAGACCCCACTTGTGGGATTACACTGAATTTTTTTGTTGTTGTTGTAAATACTATTGCTACTTATGCTCAACTGAGCAATATTAATTGACCAGAATGTGTAGCTTGTAGCTTTTCTTTGCTATGCTTGCAAGCTCTTCTTGAGGACTTGTTGAGTGAGCTCTTTGTGACAAATACATTCTGTACAGGTGATGGCAATCAATGAGTCTTCACGACTCTGTGCATCGTTGAAGAAGGAAACCGTTTCAGTAAGAAAGCTTATTGTCAACCAAATCCTACCTCCGTCTACATCAGAATGCAAGTTTTGTGTGATGAGAAGAAAGGTAAGAGTTGACTCTTCAAATTCGGCCTAGCGAAAATATTCTAATTCATCCCATTTCTTGAAAATATTCCAATTTTCTCTCTCTTTTAAGTTAAATCCTTCTCATTTATACTGCTAAGCAAGTTTTTTTGTTTTAAATAATGAAGTAGGCAGAAACCTAAGCTAGATGAAAGAATACCTAGTGAGCATGTATCTTAATTCCGAGCCAGGTATCTGAATTTAAAATGGGGAATAAATATCTATTGGAATTGTTTGTGTGTCAAGCCATTGATATGCTCAATATTTACGCATTTCAATGTAGTCTTGAAAACTAATTTTAAGAAGGCTCTCTAGATACCCTATTTGGAATAGTTATGCAAGAAGGTAGGTATGTCCTGAACGTGAACTTCCACCTTTTTCATAACTTGTCGGATTGTGGTATGTCATACATGCCAAGCTTTCTTTATGGTGTCACATTATATCCATTGAATTCCATAACTACATTTCTAATGAACTCTACAATAGGAAAGGTACTCATGGCCAAATGCATGCAGCATAAATTGTGCATGCTTGATTTAGCAACTGAACACTGAGAGCTTATGTATGCAATAAAAGACTTACTTGGAAGGCAGATTAGAGATTCAACAACAACAAACAACAACATATCCAGTATAATCTCATAAATGGGGTTTGGGGAGGGTGGTGTATACGCAACTTTTACCCTACCTTGTGAATGTAGAGATGTTGTTTCTGACAGACCCTCGGCTCAAAAAAACAAGTATGCAAAGCAAATACAATAGTGAAGAAGTCATACTGTTGTTGCTGAAAGAAAGTGGCAATGATGCTTCACTTGAAAGCAAGCCATATGAATGTTGAACTTAGACAAGTTTGATGTTTTATATTACCATATAGCGAGTATAAATCGAGTGATATAAAAGCTATGTTGCACTACTTTTGGAGTATCCAACATGCATCAGCCAACATTTTTGAAGAGTCTGAGCAGCATAGTATTGATGTAGTGTCGGCATTCTGGGAACCTTTATAAAGGGTATCACTAAAATAGGACAAATTGATCAAATGCCTAGTTCTGGGATTGCCTTGGACTGCTGTTATCTTTTATTACACATTCATATTCTAATCTTATTCACTTGCTTTAGTGCATATTCAAGACCTTAAACTTTTTAACTTAATTAACCTTTTTATCCAAACAGTGATGAAAACTGAATTATCCTGTGAAATATCTCGGACTTCCCTGATCTTTACTTGCATAGTTTTGCTGATGTCTTTGTTGTTTAAAATGTTTCAGGATCAGATGCGTGCTCTCGAAACGATCACTAAAGATCCCGAGTTAGCAAGTTTAAAGATAATCCAAGCACCATTGGTTGATGTGGAGATAAGGGGCGTCGCTGGATTAAAATTCATGGGGGATATGGTTTGGAAATAAAATTGTTCCAACAATCATGTAGAATAATGTAGCAGTGACTTGTTTGCTGAACTTATTTTCCCCCATGAGAAAAAAAAGGGCCTTTTTTTCTCTTCAATTTTACTTTGGATAGGAGGTTATGGAGGACACGTATTAGGGTAGAAGGCTAGTAGGATAGTAGAGCGTTGTTTTGCGTGTCCTTCCATACTTGTAGTCGTAGTATTTCTGATGTAGTTTCTTATCGTTCGATTTTTGTTACTATTTTTGACTCTTGTACTTCAGTTATTGCAATATTTTGTAGTTACTGATTTTTATTTTTATTTTTCCAAAATGCTTCGTCATACTTTCTATAGTATTTTGCCATGATTCCTTTACTTCCATTGTTTCTTTTTTGATCATCTTTGATATGATTTTTCTGAGCCCATGATCTAATCAGAAACAACCTCTCTACCTCCCAAGGTCTGCGTATACTCTACCCTCCTCAGACCCCATTTGTGGGATTACACTGGTATGTTGTTGTAATTTAACTCTATTTACCAACAGGCAAGCTTGTGCACAAACACAATCTCTCAATGCCAACTGAACCTGATGAGAAGGGTGCAGGCTTCATTAATGGAGTACCAACACTATTTTTCCTCTTTGCTTATCCAAAAAACATGAGATAACTTAACCAATCCGAAAAAGAAAGAGGACATGAGATAATTTTGTGAACAAAAAAGATATAGGGTGTGTTTGGTATGAAGGAAAATGTTTTCCATGGAAAATGTTTTCCTAGAAAATGTTTTCCTGGAAAACAAGTTGATTTTTGACTTATTTTCTCATGTTTGGTTGGTGAGTAGAAAATATTTTCCGAAAAAGATTTTTAGTGTTTGATTTATGAATGAAAAATATTTTTGAGAAATATCTTTTATTTTTACTAGAGTAGAAAATAAATTTTGAAATTGAAAATAGTTTTTAAAAACAAACTTAAATTTTTTTTGGGGGGTGGGGGTGGTAGGGAGTGGGTGAAAGGGGGGGGGGTAGAGGGTAGGGGTGAAAAATTGAAATTTTGAAGTTGAAAATATTTTTGAAAAACAAACTTAAAATTATTTTTTGGGGGTGGGGGGGGGCTGGTAGGGGGGTGGGTGGGTGGGGGTCGAGGGTAGGGGTGAAAAAATGAAATTTTGAAATTGAAAATATTTTTTAAAAACAAACTTGAAATTTTTTATTTTTTTTTGGGAAGGGGTGGGGGGCTGGTAGGGGGTGGGTGGGGGGGGGGGCTGGTTAGGAGGTGGGTGGGGGGGTCAAGGGTAGGATGAAAAAATGAAATTTTGAAGTTGAGAATATTTTTTAAAAACAAACTTAAATTTTTTTTTGGGGGGGGGGGGGGGGGGGGTTAGGGGTGGGTGGGTGGGGGGCTGGGTAGGACGTGGGTGGGGGTCTAGGGTAGGGTGAAAAAATGAAATTTGAATTTGTAAATATTTTTTAAAAACAAACTCAATTTTTCTTTGGGGGTGGAGGTGGGGGGGGGGGGGGGGGTGACCGGAGAAGGGGGTGGGTGATCGAGGATCAGGATGAAAAAATAAAAATTTGAAGTTGAAAATATTTTTTAAGAACAAACTTAAATTTTTTTTTCTTTTTGAAGGGGGTTGGGGGCTGATAGGGGGGTTGATGTGGGGGGGCGGGGGGCGAGGGTAGTGGGTGTGGGGTAAAAAAATAAAAAAATGAAATTAGAAATATATTTTAAAAACAATTTTAAATATTTTTTTGGGAAGGGGTGGGGGTAGGGGTGAGGGTGGGATAAAAAAATTGAATTTAAAAACAAGCTTTAAAATTTTTTTTTATTTTTTTTCGGGGGGTGGGGTGGGGGGGGATTGGTTGGGGGTTGTTTGAGGGTAGGGACAAAATAAATTAATTTTTTCAACAAAAAAATAATTGTAATTTGAAGTTGGAAGAGACTTTTGGAAAATGTTTTCCTTAAGTTTAGAAGGGAAGTCATTTTCCTTAAATTTGAGGAAAATGAGTTGATTTGGAAAATATTTTCCAAAATATTTAGCCCAACCAAACATGAGAAAATTGGAAAACATCACACCCATACTGTCTACTTATGCTGTCAACAAGTTGGCATTATCACATTTGGCTGTATAACCATTTACATAATTTGACATTAATATCCTGATCTTTATCAACTTTTGGGTATACCCTTCAATTTATGAAGTGTATTCTCAGTCATATCCTTGTCAACATCATGAAGACAAGACATACATTCTCGGTTATTTCTCTCGAGTTCAAGGCTACATCACGAGGCTCAGGAACCAGGTAGCATCAATCTCCTAGAGGAACTACTGTTGGCACATATTACACTTGATTTTTCACCTATAGATGAAATAATCATTTAACCTGTTTAATTGACTCCTGCTGCTATATACCATCTGTTTCGAGTAATTTACATTTTTGGCAAGAATCATATCAAGGTTATGTACAATAATCTTCACAAGGGACCCAACTTTTTGAGGCTTCCCAACATTTTCGTCATGGTTTTGAGTCTGTAAACTGACTTTTGTCCTTGTATACCAAGTGATGACGCAAGACAGCAACAAACAAGACTTATTTTTTCTGGAAAGTTATCAATAAGAAAAATGCTACACAGCGACTGATAGCACCGAGAAGGATGAGTTTTAGTAAGCAAGGGTACCAATGATCAAGTGCATAGCCCCTTTTCCTTAGTACACCACATCTTGTGATCAGCCACACCCCAGAGTACCTAAAGGCCGGGAAAATGAAAATGAAGAGAAACAAAAAGAATTAAAATTTACCCTGGAATGAATGTTCAACATATAACTTCTTAAATCCCAAAATATGAGGTGCACTTGATGTTCAACAATTGATGGTTAATGATTAGGGTAGACGGCTAGTAGTAGGTAGCTTCACATTTTGCTTAGTATTTTTTTTAAAAATTATTTCTGTATTTCTCATTCCTAGTTTTCTATTACTATTTGTGTCTCGTATGCTTTGGTTTTCTTACTGTCCTGTTATTGTTACTGCTTATGTTTCCATAAATGCAGTGATTATGCTTTCCTTGAGGTGAGGGTCTATTGGGAACAACCTCTCTAACTGCACAAGATAGGGGTAAGCTCAGCGTACACTCCACACTCTTGAGGCACCACTTGTTGTATTAAACTGGGTATGTTTGTTCTAAATTTCAGCAAGTATTTGTTAGCAAGGTTAGCCGTAATGCAAGAGGAATTTAGACATAATGGAGAAGGATTCACCAGACCTTTTAGCATTTGCAATAACGAATGCTTCCAAGGCCCACTTTGAATAGATATAATCTCCTACTTTCCCCGTGAATGAGCTACTGTCCTTGCTTGCTATGAGGGTCAAAACAACTGGTAGCAACACCGACCACTGAAAGACAGATTAGTTTGTTAGTAGAGAATCATGGCACTAGAGAATAACGGTTGGAGTTGATACGTATTGCATGATCAAAGTTCTGAGTACACACCAGTTGAGCTTGACCAGGTTCAAAGTAGATGGCAAGTGCATAAGCTATCCCGGTAACACAATATACAACACAGAGCAAGACGAGATAATTATCCAAAATCGATGATCTTGGATTGTTGAAGAAGTAGAACATTGACAGATAAACTGCAGGCTTTATAATTGTATTGATATGGTCAACTGTATCCTTAGCCATAAAATATGCCAAACCGCTCATGCCAGATGCACTCTCTCTCCAGTAATGTAATTTATCTAGAGAAAATGATCTCAAAGCCGCAATCTTTGTGAGAAGAGCTGGAAAACATTTTTGAAGATTAGAACTAAGGTAATGAAGATATATGGAAGAGAATTTTCCCAAGTCCTTTTCTGAAATGCTTTGCTTCTTTGAGATATTAACAGTAAGGAGGGTGAAAGACAACAACTGCAATTTAAAATTGAGAATTTTTTCTTCTAAATTTGCAAATAAAAATAACGAACTGTCTTTAAGTCATCAATTCGCTGAATAAAGATTAAACTGAAGTATATACACTGTTCTGAGGTTTTGAACTTACGAACTGCAATGACGGTGTAAAGGTACCCCATGAATCCAAAGGTTTCATCACTCACTTCAGCAAGTGTTCCCAAACAGAGTCCAGCAAGTAATAGAATAAGAAAATCAACTGCTTGTATCCTGGCTTCACGCAATCGCTGCTTGCCGACCCTGACAATATGAAGTATCATAGATGTCAACCATCAAAACAAATGCAAACTCAAAAACATTTCTAAATCAAATAAAAGAACTGGGCACACATTTTTCCTCATGAACTGTCACATGAATACTTCCCCCTAAATGTCCTTAGAAGCTTCTCAGTTGGTCATGCTACCTAATTGCTTTATCGTGGTTCTAATAAAAATTTACTCCCTTCTATAGTCTAACTATATAAAAGAAAAAGTATACACATCTTGAACAATAATTAGAAGGTATACAACTGAAAAGGAGAAACTTATATATTCACATGCATCTTGAACAATAATAAGAAGGTATACAACAACAACAAACCTAGTATAGTCCCAAAAGCGAGGTATGGGGCGGGTGGAGTATATGCAAACCTTACCACTACCTCAATGATGTAGAGAGACTGTTTCTGAAAGACCCTCAGCTCGAGTAGCGAACACCACAAAACAATACAGAAGTAGAGCAGCTAACAGAACAATACAAAAGTAAAGATGACATAGAAAATAATAAGGAAAACATATCATAACATACCAAAGAATAATTACTACAAGTATACAAGGAGAGAAATATTATTATTACCTTCCAAGGAAATACTTGTATTGAAGCAAAACACCAGGGGTTTTCCGATTGGACAAGTCCGTCCATGCCAAAAAGTTGAATCGAATGCGGTCCTTCTTCTGTTCAACATTGGATTTAACATCTGCCCACAGGTCTGCAGATTGTTCAGAGGAAACAGTTGCAGGACTTGTTAAATCAGCTGAATTGTCTCCAACCGAAGATGCTCTTGATCCAGAAGATTCTAGCATGTCTGGTGGTATGGGGTAACCATTATGAAGCATCCATCTGAGGGGAAGATCTTTATAGCTCAATCCTGTGCTTGGGAGTTTATAAATTCCTTCTAAAATATCAATGAAATGATCAGGAGGATTAACGCGATCAGGTACAGTTATTCCAATGCCTGCAAAGTACTCTTCAACTGTCTTTACTGGTCCATGATATACTGTAAGGCCACCCTTGGCTAGAAGTATCAAATCATCAAACATTCTGAACAAAGTATAGCTGCAAAAGGATTGTAAGAGATTTGGTTGGTTATTTCAGAAAAGATAATTTTCCTTAATAGTATATTACATAGAACCAAAATGAGACTTTGTCAACATCCCAAATGTGGTTGTTTTCCTTCCATATCGGTTTGGTTCAGCCAATCTTCAGTACAATCCTTTATTCTGGAGATCCTCTTCTAAGGTTCGAATTTGATTCACAAATTTCATCAACTTCTTGTCCCTCATTCTTAAGTTCTCTAATTGTCCCTCACATCCTATAACTTTGCAGGTTGAATAAAGGTCTTGTTTTCACTTCTCACACGTGGTAAGTTCTCTCCGCGGAGTTTGAAGGCATGATTCTCAAATATTGTTTAAAATTTTCAAAAGGATCTCTTGACTTACTTAAATTAACTATTACACATGAGTATTTATATGTATTCTTCAATATGCACCTATTTTGTACATGTATCATACAAGCATCTAATAATTCATGCATCCACAAATATACGGTACTTCATTTACACATTTAAACCCAAAAGTTCTATTATCATTCAAATTTCAATACAAAGTTCAATCTTCAGCAAATCTAGCTATGAAGTATGTTACTCCCTCCGTTTTATTTGATGTGTCCTAGTTTGACTAGGCACGAAGTTTAAAAATATAATGGAACTTTTGAATTCTGTGGTCTTAAAGGTGAGTATAACATGCCAAAAGTACTGTGATATTAAATAAGACATGTCATTCCACTAAGGGAGTGTCATTAATAGTAAAATGTTAAATAAGCCATGTCATTCCTCTGAGGGAGTGTCATTAATAGTAAAATGAGAATATTGGAATTAAAAGCTTCCGAACAACTAAATAAGAAAGGTGGCATTCTCAATGAATATACACACTAAAAAGGAAAGTAAGACACCTAAATTGGAAACGGAGGGAGTTATGTTACTTCTAACCTTCCATGGACAAGAAACCCAAGAATTTTTGAAGCTGAGAACCGGAGTCAAAAGTTTTTCTGAAACAAAATGCTGTGTAAGCAGAGCAAAAAGAGGTCCTGAGTTTGAGTTGCATTGCCATTTAGACTTCCACGAACTTGGTCCCAAAAGATGAATCAAGTATGCATTTGAGATACAGTGTTTGAATCAATAGAGAACCTATCTGTGACATCTTGCAATTTGAAATCACTATGAAGAAGCTTGAAATTGGAAACAGTCATTTTTGGGAAGAAATCAAAATCTGGAAATTTAGTTTAGTATGGAAAAAAATGAGTTTTTGGTCAACTTCAAACAGTCATAACTCCTAGCTCAGGATGAGTTAGGTGTATTTCCAGTTATGTTTGCAAATCCCTTGGAATGAGCTTTCCAACGCCGCCGATTTTGCTCGATTCCAAGTTCGTATGAGTGAGTTATTCCCTTTGGAAGTTGGGTTGTTGGCCTAGGAAAGTTCACCCGAATTTGTAAGGGTATTTTGGTCTTTTCCCTAACCATTTCTTTTGGTTATATTAAGGGTCCCAGCTGATTTTAAATCAGTATTTCCTTTTAAAAAGTGAGTGTTAAGGTTGTGAGTGAAGAGGAGAAAGAGAAGGAAGCTAAGTTCGTCGAGATCGTCGTGGATTTCGTCGGGGGTGATCCCTATTAAGGTATGTGAGATCATAGTGTTGGGTTGGTTCATTCCCCCACACGCCAAACTCATTTTACTTTCCGAGAAAAAGATTGGTTGTGTTTGTTGAATTCTTGTGGTTGTGTTGAAATTACTTGTTGATTTGGTACATGTTTCCGGATGGAATTCCGAGTTGAATCTATTGTATAGTAAGGGTTTTAATGATCCCAAGTGTTTGGGGAAAGAACCTTTGAAGTTATGAGGGTTTAGAGTTGGAAAGATGAAGGAGAAAAGTCGGGCAGCTTCCATGAAACCAGTCCGCGTCGCGGACTTGTTCCCTCTGTGAACAAAAATCTGCTCCGCGTCGCGGACAGGACGCGGACTCCATTGTTTCAAAATTTAATTTCGCAACTTTTCTTAAGTTTAGCTGTCCTAAATCATTCCTAAGCATCATGAAGTCTTTCCAAACACAAATCATAATCCTTGAATCCTTAATTCAATTCAAGGAAAGTTAGGATCAAAGTCAAGTGAAGTTAGAGTCAAGTCTAGAAGTTAAGAAGTAAGTCCAAGCAAGTTTTTAAAGTTTTTTTTCAAGAGTCTTTACTAAACGTCTAAACTTCGTTTTAAGGCTCAAGTTTCAAGCAAAGTAAAGAGTATGGAGTTGAGTTCTTTTTCTCAAGAGTTACTAGGGAACTATGTATTCCCCAAAGAAGTTTATAAATGTTTTTACATTTAAGTAAGAAAGGAACTATGTTTTCCAAGAGAGCCTTTGGGCTAAGCTTTGAGTAATTATCTCAAAATAAAGAAAGATGTATTTAAAACACTTATGAGCTAAAGTATTTTGGGAGTAGTATTGAGCACCGAATTGGGGACGCGAGTTTATATTAACTCAACTCTCCATAAGAACCATGTAGCCAAACATGGGACTTAACGGGTCATTCTTTTTAGATGATCACGTAAGATTAAGCTAGTGGATCCACTAAGTTAGGTAAGGTCCTATATCACGGCAAGGTATAGGATGGTCCTTGGGCAACGTGAGGTAAAACATTGTATCATCACTAGGGCTCATAGTGGTGGTTGTCGGTTAAAGAATCTCCCACTAAAGTTATATTACTTTTATATAAGTAAAGTTGAGTTGGTTGTTGTTTACACTGTTTTACAAGCTTTATATATATTGCATGTGTCTTATTGCTTTATATTGAGTTAGGTTTCCGCTGAGTTAAGAAAGCCAGGCCAAGGGTTCGCTTGGGGCCAGCAATGGTCTTCGAGTGCCGGTCCCGCCCTGGGTGTAGGCTCGGGGCGTGACACTATCATTATTTGTTGTTCTTAGAATTAGGGTTTCAATTTCCACATTTCGAAATTGCACCAATTATGCTGGAGGAAAAACTACTTAAATTTTTTTATGGTTATAATCCTGCATGTTTCGTGATTGCAATATGTTCACTGAGTGCGAGGATAAACAAAAAGATATTGCAATTGATAAAAGTCAATATGATAACCACCAGGGAATGCAGATGGAAGAAGATGAATAGAGTAAGACCAAAAAACTTGAGAGTCTATCATTCGTAACATCACCTTGGTTGGTGCACCACCATGCATACATTTACTCCTTCAAGAGCTTCACGACGGGTTGCTCTGAGCAACAGTTGAGATGAAGAGCTATCCAAACCAGAAGTGGGTTCATCTAAGATTAACAAAGAAGGTTCCATAACCATTTCCAGCCCAACATTGACTCTCTTCCTCTGACCCCCAGAGATGCCTCGCTTTTCCACTGTCCCCACAATAGAATCTCTCACAGGTTGCAATCCCAAGGACTCTATGACTCTTTCAACAACTAAAACCTTTTCAGGTTTAGGCAAATCAGCTGCCAACCTGGAAGAGTGATTCAACAAAGAAGAGTAGACTAGCATCAGATGAATATAGTATCAAAAAACAGCAAGCTAACAAGTGAAAGCAGTAGCAAAAGGCAAACTAACTTCCTTTTGGATAATATAACCTGGTCATATCTCTGCCTAGTTTGTGTTTGACAATAATAGACGGCACAGAGATTTCAGACCCTCACATGAATACTTTGAAAATCCATTGACAAGTATCAGACAGTGGTTTCTGACAATAATAGGTAGGCATGTAGCACTCCAGAATAAGAAGGAAAATAAATGCATGACCTTTCCAATCAACAAACAACTGGAACCAGTCACCACCAAAATGTAGAGTGTAGACTGATGGTTGAAGTCATGAAACTTATGATGCAAAAGAATGACATACTAATGTTACCAGTTTCAAAAAGAAAAGAAAATGCCATGCAGAAAAGATATTATATGAATGCATAGATTCGTACTAACAGAACTACAATAGCATACCTGCACCGAGCACTAAACCAAAGATTCTCCTCCACAGTTAAATTTCCGTGTACTATGTCGTCTTGAGGTACAAAGCCAATGATTTTCTTGTATGATTGCATCGGTTCATTCTTCCCATTTATGAGAATCACACCATTCATGGTACACCCAGCAGCCTTCCCAGTCAATGCAGAAAGAAATGTTGTCTTTCCAGCACCAGATGGACCCATAACAGCAGAAACACGGCCAGGTGATAATTTTCCTGATACACACCTCAATAGATGCTTGTTTTTCCCCTTCAAAGTAAGTGTCAAATCTTTGAAACACACCTCAATGGGAGGTCTAGTTCTAATCTCAATATCACTTGCCATTGAGATTACACCAGAAAATGTCAAATTCTTATTCTGCTCCTGCATAGCTTTTTCTTTCTCAATTTGACCATATGCATATTTAAAGATTTGGCTCTTGGTTTGCAACTTTTCAGCCTTAGGCTTTTTCATATTTTTGTCCCCAATCTCAATATTGAAACCATCATGACTATCAGGATCTTCTTCAAGCTCTTGCACCATCTTTGTGAGGTTGGTTTGCTTTTTAGCTTTGGCGTGAGACATACCTAAGGGCAAGGGGGGTAAGGCAGCTTCTGAACGAGATCTAGCGTGACTAGGAGCCTTATGCGGATCCTGTTGACTTACATATTTCTTCCGGGAGAATGTCCTTGACAATTGAGATTGTAGACCAGTTGCATGCTTGCGAGCAATCTCTTTAGCAGATTTCCATTTCTCACGTGCCTGTACATTCTCCCTTGCACTTTTTGCTGCGCGTTCTCTGGACTTTGCATATTTTCTCTCCCTGCTGCTCAGCACTTGGTCAGAACAGTTGTATATAATGACAAGTATAAGTGTAATTCCACCCTATTAGAAATGGAAACCGCAGTCACATGTCACACTTCAGTAAAATATAAATCTTAGCCCAATTAGATAATAAAATATGCATGTTTGTAGATGAAGCATGCCGAGTTTACATAAGTCATATCTATTATATGCCTCTATGAAACACAAAACAAGTGTATAAGTCAGGAAAGATGGGAAGTCTTTTCAGATTAAAGGAGCACTTGTAAACTCATGCATGACATAGTTCAGTTGACATACTTATAGAACTTTCACATTTTGAATCTCTAACAGGCATCCATTGCAAGTGTATCAGATGTTTCAGCAAATGCAGCATGAATATGATTATTACAAGGAAACATGGACATTAGATTTGACGTTCATTGTTGATAATTAGCAATGTCAAACTTACTCCTCAGTGATCAATTGAGAACTCCAAGAAATGAAGTTAATTAAATTAGAAAACTTCAAATGAAAAGAAGAAGCAAGTTATCGGAGAAGCTTGTTGGTTAGTTGTGACTTGTTACAGATGAAAATCAAACGACAAGGAAATGTAAAATGCTATATCTTGTGTGATCGGTCCTTCTTTTGGGTTCAATTATGCTATTTATGCAGCCATTATTCTCCTGTTATCAGAAAAAGAGGAGTAGAAGTTACGTCCAGACTAATCCCTCCCATTTCCACCTCCTTCGGTAAGGAAATAGCAGAAGACAAATCTATTCTTTTGCAGGTTCATTTCTGTTCTTTCTGGCATGAATTACTCACTTTCCTTCTCCCACTTCAAACCTAAAAAAATTAAGCCATACTAGCTAACACGCCAGGAGCATTATGACATTATCTCAAAAGTAAAACCTTATATAGACAATCAATATTTGTACAGCATAGGAGTGAGGAGATAACTTACAAAAAACATAATACCATAAGCTGTGATATTTTGATTATCTGATTGTGATTCACAAATAGCTAATTTATAGCAGCCTGCATGTCCATAATTATAGATAAATACTTGATGATGATGGCAATGTTAGACCAGAAAATATTTCCAGAAATAGAAATCGAGAGGTACATGCAATTAGTTGTTTCTTAATATAACTTTTCATCTTGTGGTATGATCTTCAAGTTACAATTTCACATATTCTGTAGCATGACAACTATATGATGTCTCATCTCATAAAAAAGAATTCAAGGAAATTTTTCTCTTAGTAGAGAAGAATGTGAGGCACATCCCGCCACCAAAATAACAATCTTGGTAAGGTGGATGTCCAATATGCTCATATCTTTATACGTCCTGCTCATTTCTAGTAATAACTATTGGATATCCGATCCATCTTACATATTTTAACAGTTCTAGTAGCCTAGGCAAAGAAAATAATTGGATATGACAGCAAGCAGAGTTTGCATTATTAGTATTCTTTTTTGTATTTCACTTGGAACCTCACAAGCTGCTATGACACACCAAGGAAATTTCTTTTTTTCAAGTGTATCTTTCTTTTTCCTTCTGTATTTTTTCTTTTGAAGTATGGTACAAGTGTGACAACACAACCAAACAGGCATTTTATGAAGCAACACAGAACCTAATACAGAGACAAAACAGACTATCACATGAGATGAGGACTTACTTGTTTGAGATGTAGAACCAGTTCTACAGTAATGCCTGGAAAAGCATAAACAAACAGTATGATAAGAGAATGGATTAGCATGAGCTTCTAATATGAGCCGAGTTAAACAGAAGTAACATTTTGTTATTTGCTGCCTAAACAAGGAGGGGGGAGGGGGGGGGGGGGGGGGGAGAAGAGAAGAGAAAGCATGGTAAGATGCATGTTTTCCGGTTTTGGGATAAATATAAATACCCTTTATTGCAAGGAATCTTTAGTGCAGTAGTTGGACAGTAAAATCCCGCTGAACAAAACAGTTCAGTAGTACTCATAACATCAGCCCAGACATCTGCTCCACCGCAACTATGATTTGCCTGCCCTGGAGGAGGTTGATAACGGTACCTTCACATTTTGAGGCAGGAAATATTAGTTGAAGGATGCAAAAGAATCTGGTCAAGTAAGAATAAGAACTCCAAAGATTGTGAAACTTACGGTTCACATGCACCAGAGTCATCATTGAGATCTGAAATAGGGCAATATGCACCTAATGGGCAGGCTTCAATCGGAAAATAGGAGAATAAACAAACATAAAACAGATATAGATTAAAAAGAACAACCATAAAATTATGCCAAAGGTGCAACTTATGATTGTTTGTCAGATAAGCAAATTCATCACTTTAAAATTTTGTAAAGATCACCTCAAATACAATAAGATAAATAGAAACAATGTCTTGATATCAAGCAATTCTGAAATGATAGAAAACACTATCTCTTGATAGTAAGCAACTCTGAGATGTTGTTTGGTCCAAATTGTTTGAGCATGTCTACTTCAGATAGTGGTCATGGTTTGAATGACTTAAAGCAAATATTCTTGAAGATACTTACGTATCATGCAGGTGAGACCACGAGGACAGAAAAAACCTTCACAACAAGGATGACAATCAAGAATTCTAGGTGGCATTTCCTTTGCATCTTTAAGGCGAACCAGATTATCTCCAACACTACAAGCCCATCCTGGCTCGCATCCAGGAGCCCATGATGATAGATTACAATTCTTGTTAGGTTTCAGGTTACCTCTTCCACCGCCTTGCGTTAAAAGTTGAGAAAAGAACTTTACCTCTGCTGCTGTACACAAGCGCTTTAGTACATCACCTATTCGACCACCGAAGACGTCGTGAATATGAAAATAAAGACAATAGAACAATTAGTAGATAGCTCCACAGAGTGATCTTACCATGTCAATGGTATTAGAAGCAATCAAATCTTAATTGCAGTACTTGTGGAAATTAACTATTGATCACCACAAAAGTGAACTTGCTAATCGAATGTTTAGCAACCAAAGGAACTCATATTATTATCTTATCAGAATAAGTAAGGCTACATACCACATTTTTTGATAAGTTCCTGAATTTTCATGATGCAGAACGTATAGAACATTATGAATTAGACCAGCAAACTTCGAACTAGAAAATATACAGCCTCAGAATCTTATCCAGCAGTTGGTACCTTTTGTCTGATTAATGCATGCTGTCAAAAAATCTGTGTTTTCGGTGAAATTAAAAGCTGCGTTCCACTCAGCATCCCTACAAAACGATCAGCATACATCAACTGAAAACTAGCTTTCAAAGTTCTTTAGGATGAATTAACAAAGCCAACACTATAACAACTAAAGTGAAATAAAACTTAGGAAAAGCTTTTGCGAATTGGATTAATGACATAGGAATTGAAGAATATACTTTCCTACAGCAAGATAAGAGACGGTTTTCGAGACAATTTATCAATTATGAAACAATTTAAGAATAAAGTACTACTAAGATAGTAAGAATACAACCACCAAGACTTAAAGTCTAATAGTACGTGTAGGTATTATTATGGGTTCAATTCTTACTGTCTCCCTTCTAATGCATCAAATCGTAGTAGGTTGACTACAAGAATCTTCAGTATCCATGTAATTCTATTTAACCTGCCATGTAATCCAATATTCAATGATTTAGGTTTTGTAACACTAATAAGGGTTGTTCTGGTTACTGGTCAGAGATGTATGGATTAGTTAGGCAAAATTTAGTTATCCAATCTTCTATCTTGCATGAATAATACATAGATTCCCTCGTAACTTATACATGTATTAGTTATGCAGGACTGTAAACTCGTAACCAAACACCATACTTGGTGTGCTGAATTTTATACCTAGCAACTAAAATGAGTACTACTTATGCTTACTTCAATACATGAATAATTCACTTCCTAATCAGCAACCAAACGACCCTTAAATCCTTGGCATTTTCTAATAACATAACAAATTATAACTAGATTAATAGACTTTTACCTAACGAATATTAGACTTAAAAGTAAGTCTACTACAAGTCATGTTCATTAATTGAGCTAATAGGCTTGTGATTCCCTTGCAAAATTCGTGAATTTTCTGTGTAATTCCCCACTGCTTTAAAGCAAATGCATTCAACCAATCTATCATAACGACGTTGAATCGGCACAAAAATTGAAAAATAAAATAAAATCATGCATGCTGAAGAGAAATCGAGAAAATGAGCTTACACATCATCGATGCAGAACTTCAATTCATTGGTAACGGCAGGATCAAACAAGGAAGTGAAATTGCTAAAACTGCTATAAAGGACCTGCGCCAATAGCGGCTTCGAACCAGGATTACCGCTCTGCTGCAGCTGCTGCTGCTGTGCAGCGATTTGATTCACCGAGATGATGAAAAAACCCAAAAAAATTACGAAGATTCGAACAGAGGCATTGTTTTCTGCCATTTCTGACTGCACATTTTCATCAAGGACCATCACAAGTGTGTGGATTTTGCAGCTGATAATGAGAAGTTTAATTTTGGGATGAAATTGGAGAGGAAATAGTGGGAGAAAGCTAGGGTTTGGGGGCATGGAAGAAGAAAAATGGTGATTTCTCGGAGGGAAGAAATGGCGGGGAGAGCAAGTAGGAGAAGAGGAGAGAGATGACATGCATTTTGTATTTGGGCCGTTAGATTACGCAACCGTATTTTGAAACCAAATATCAAAATTTATACTCTTAGGGGTCGTTTGGTTTGAATATGAGTTATGATGGGATAAGTTATGTTGGGATAAGTTATGTTGGGATTAGTTATGATGGGATAAGTTGTCCTGGGATTATTTCTTATTGAGTGTTTGGTTTGTTATATTCAAAATAATATATATTGATAAATTTTAAGAACAAGTTGTTTGTTTACAAAATTACCCTTCACTTTATTTAAACTTTTTAAATTTTTCTTTGTGAGCTTTAGTTATTCATTTTTTAAAATAAAACTTTTATTTTTTTTAACTTAAATATTTTTGTTTATGTATTCCCATGATAAGTACCATGTGTATTTAAAAATATAACTTTTTTCTTATTTAGCTTAAAAATAGAACTTTCCTCTTAAGTTTATTAAAGAGAAGAAAATTTATGAGAAATCAAAATAAAATAAACATAAGAATTAGTCAAATAAATTCATAAATAAAAATTATATTTATATAGTATAATTTTTTAATAGAAAAATATGTATAATTATCATAAAAATAAGGAGTAGTAAATATTATTATACATGGTATTAAAAAAAATGTAAATATACATAAATGTAAAAAATGATATATAAAAAGGATTTAAAGGGACATATTTGTCATTTACCTATTCTATCTCGGGATAAGTTATCCCGGGATTACTATACCACCCATGGGGAGGGATAACTTATCCCGGTACTAATTATTAATCCCGGGATAAGTTATCCCGGACTTGCCAACCAAACAACATAATTTTTTTTTTATCCCATCACTATTTCCTTATCCCATCACTATTATTTCTAATCCCTCACACCAAACGAGCCCTTATTATTATAGGGAAAATTACCCGACAAAGCAAACATACATATATCATGTATTTTTATCCGAAATAGCTAGAGTTTCAAAAAATTATTAATACATAGCTAGAGTTATTAGATTAATCGATTTCAGGTCAAATAAGAAGAATCAGAGGATTCCACCTTTGGAATATAGGTTTTATTTGTTTCTCTTTGTATTGCTGATGCAGAACCAACAAATACAAAATATATAGAACAAATCGATACACTGCTACAGAGTGAACTGATACATTGATACAAAGTGAATCTATAAGTTGTTAATTAGGGTGTGTTTGGTATGAAGGAAAATGTTTTCCTGAAAAACAAGTTGATTTTTGACTTCTTTTCTCATGTTTGGTTGGTGAGTAGAAAATATTTTTCGGAAAAGATTTTAAGTGTTTGATTTATGAATGATTTTTTTTTTTGAGAAATATCTTATTTTTACTAGGGTAGAAAATAATTTTTGAAATTGAAAATATTTTTTAAAAACAAACTTAAATTTTTTTGGGGGTGGGGTGCGGGGGGGGGGGGGGGTGGGTTGAGGGTAGGGGTGAAAAATTGAAATTTTGAAGTTGAAAATATTTTTTAAAAACAAACTTAAATTTTTTTGGGGGGGATGGGGGCTGGTAGGGGTTGGGTGGGGTGGGGGGTCGAGGGTTGGGGTGAAAAAATAAAATTTTAAAGTTGAAAATACTTTTTAAAAACAAATATATAAGTGTAGGATAAAATTCGAAAGCAATTTATATATTATTTTCTGTACTGTTACGATTTTCTTTCAGTTGTCATAAGTTACAAATATATATATATATATATTACGAGTTACAAACACTCTAGAATACATACAAATAACACAAATAAATATTTTCATACTGTGAAAGCTATAAGTGGAAGGTCCTTTATTAAGCATGACTACATTAGGAAATATATATAATTGAACAAGAGCACATTTAGAAAATATATAAATACAATAAAAAATATTTATCTAGAAAATTATCATCAATTTACATATTAACTTACTAAAACATATGTCACAAAAGAAGAACACAATAAAAACTTCTTCAATAATTGAATAACATAAATCTAATTAGGAAAATATACAAATACTATTTTTACAGATTAACAATGATACAATTAAACATAAAAAGAAATTTAATTAATATTATGATTTTCGTTCAAATCCTGCCTAATAAGGAATCATCATAAATATTTTTACTTTCTTGTTATTTTGTGTTCATTTTTTGTCAAATAATATGATGATTATGTTGCTATAAATACTTGGTTAGAACAGAAAACCAACATCGCATTTTCCCAACATTTTCAATTCAGAAATTTAGCCATGAGAAGACTTAATGGCCGCAGAAGAATTACAATCGCGAGGGTACAAAATTCAAGAAATAGACAAGTCACATTCTCAAAACGACGTAATGGCCTGTTTAAAAAGGCAAGTGAGCTATGTACTTTATGTGGTGCTTATGTTGCTGTTGTGATTTTTTCTTCTAGAAACAAAATATACTCATGTGGACATCCTTCCGTCGAATTTATTGTGGATAAATTTCTTGGAGAGAATCCTCAACCCGATACTGATGCTTCTAACCCTGACACTGATTCTCCTAACCCCGACACTGATGCTCCTAACCCCATCGTTGTAACTCATCAAAATGCCCATGTTGATGAGATCAATAAAAAACTAAACAAATTGGAGAATTCACTCAAAAGAGAAAAGAAATATGGAGAAGCTCTTCAAGCATTAAGGAATGAACTTCCATATGAAAAACTCGACTTTCTTAACCTTACAAAATTGAGTGAGGCTTTGGAAGCTGCAGATGAAGAAGTTGAAAGAGTAGCCAGCCAACTTAGGGAGGGTAATATTGAATTTCCATATCAAATCATTGGAAGTGCCCTTGCTCCTTTAAGAGTTGAGGAAAACATTTTGTCCGATCCCGATGAAGGATCATCTGGATCCCATGAATAGATTTGTTTTGCTTTATTTAAAATTCAATAACTTGATTATGCACTTATAGAGTTAAGTTTGTCATGTTTATTATTATGTTTGGTCTATTTATGATTTTAATGTTTACCTATGAATATGTTTATCATGTAATGGGATGGACTTTTATTTAGTATTTCTTTCATTTCAATTTCTTTGTCTTGCCTTTTTTAGTCATTTTAAAAAGAATGTCTTTTTTTCATTTTTGTCAACTCTTAATTTCTACTTTTCATATGTCGGGTATAAAACCACAAGAATAAAGAACATTTTGTTACATTTCACATATTTATAAGTCTTTTTATTTTCTCAAGTTTCATGTCAAGTCAAAATCAGATACATAAATTGAAATGGAAGGGGCATGTAGTAATTTGTCATTAGAAATTGATGTATAAGTGTTGAAAAAATAAGTAGTAAGAGGATATGAATAAGAGTATCACGTGTATCTATTTCTACATATGATAATCAATGCTACTTTATTATGATTGGTAAAGCAAGACTTACCTCTTCACTTCTACTTATTCAAATTGATTTTTTATCATTTTTATTGTTTGTAAAAAAACACTAAACATATTGTCTAGTGATATATATTAGTAAGAAAATTAGATTGTTTTTATTGTTATGATATTTTTTCATATGTTTTACGAGTTTACAAATGTTCGAGAAGACATATAAATAACATACAATTATAAATGGAAGTGCTTAATTTTTTTTGTACATTAATATAAATTAGACAATAAGTATTTCCATATTGTGAAAGCTAATAATGGAAAGTCTTTTATTGAGCATGGCTATATTAGAAAATATACATAGTTGAACAAGAGCAAATTTAGAAAATATATGAATATAATTAAAAATTATTTACCTAAAAATTTATCATCAATTTACATATTAAATTCCTAAAACATATGTCACAAAAGAATGACACAATAAAACGTTTTCAATAACATAAATCTAACTAGAAAAATATGCCGTTTGTAATTACTATCTTTATGGATTAACAATGATACATAATAAAAGGAAATATGTCAACTTTTACTTTCTATTTGAAGTGTTTTAAATATTTTTATATATTATATTTCACTAATTATGTATTGAAGGGAAATTTTTCTGACTGCAGAAAAAATTATATATTTGTTTATTAAAAATGATTTGAAGTACTGCTAATTCTATGAAATTTAGTATCTAAAATAAAGTAACATTTGGTATGTATCATAAATGAATCTGCTTACTACGTGAATTATAAATATCACAATTTGTATATTTTTATTATTCTTTGATATAATTAATGAGAATATATTTTGAAGTGTAAAATTTTGTGTGTATATATCTTTTAAGTGTAAAAATTATAGATGTAAGAAATTTGATGTGAAAAGTAATATAAATTGTACAATATGCAATTGTTTACAGATAGAAAGAACAAGCATGAATGAAAAAATTCAGTAACTTATACAAATTAATGCAAAAATAAAAATTTCATGCAAAAGAAGTAGGAATAAGTTTCACTTAATTGATTTCTTGCCGCAAAATTAGATAGATGATGTTGGGAATGAGTGCATACAGTATTCATAAATTATACATTGTTTGAATTGTTATTACGTATTGTTTCATAATGTATCATATCAAATTCAAATATCTAGAGATTGGATAAAAGAAGACACAAATTTTGTTGTATCATTTTAAAAATTTATAATGAATTATAAAGTGTATGATTCCGCATTTGTTTTGATTGTTAGACTTTTGTTTGGAGTTTATGGGAACTCCTTATTTTTTTCCTTAGCATTTAAACTTGCTTCCATAACTTTAAATGCCTTAGTTTGATTTAGTTGTGTAGTTTTATGGTTAGTTGGGTTGTAGTAATGGTTCTCTCACCGGAGGATTATCATGGGTGCCAATCACAATGTTCTAGGTCGTGACTGGAGAAAGGTTCAAAACTTTACTTAAAAGTTATGAGGTATCACATAAATTCTCCAAGCATTAAGGACGAAACTTTCAAATCATGAATTCAACTTTTGATTTCATAAGATTTCTCCCTTATAACAATTGCAAAATAAAAGGAAATATGTCAACTTTAACTTTCTTTTTGAAGTGTCTGAAATATTTTTTAAAGATTGTATTTTCACTAATTGTTTATTG